TGGACGGCCTGGACGTCTCTGTGAGATGGTTGCAGATCCATCTTTGTTACATTTTTTATCACTTTTGCTCCAGTATTCTGACTGATAAGTAAAGCTTTGCTGATCTTCTTGTAGCCTTCACCTTTCTTGTGTAAAGAAATAATTTTCTTTCTCTGGCCTTGTGACATTTCTCTTCCATGTGGGCACATTGGAGTACGCGGCCGTACGCCCCCCTACGCTCACCCGCCCTGCACGTCCGTGCGGGTGAGCGTACTCGTACGCTGACAGGATGGATCCTGTCTGCGTCCGAGCCAGAAAACACGCACCCCTACGGACCTGCACTTGAGGTAAGCATAGGGGGCGTACGGCCGCGTACTCCAATAGAGGACGGGGGCTACATACTAATCACATGCAGCACCTATCCTTCCCGGGAGCTGCCCGATATGGCCCTCCACGCAGCACGGATCTGTACGTGCGGGCCGATTCCAGTGTGAATGAGGGCTTTTAATCAAATGTCTGCTGGACACCTGTGTAATGAATAATTATACTCACCTGTATTGAATTCTTGTTAATTAGGATTCTGTTGTCTAAACCAGTGGTTCTCAACCTGCGTAACCTCAGGACCCACATTTGTCCTTGGTCATTATAAGTCGCGACCCAAGTTGCACTGCACACACACTCCAAAAAATATATTTTTTTCTTCTTTTTTTAAAGATCCACCCAGTCTCCCTACCTTATGAGAACTGAAGTGGATCCAGAGTTTGGGGTCCAGTGTGGGCTGCTGTGCTGTGACGGAGCTCCATCCATATGTGCATTGCTTGTACAGCTTCCTTGTGCGCCCTGTAGAGGTGCCAGGAGCCAGAATGTGACGTCAATCCAGTCCAAGCACCTCTACAGGGCCCATGTGGGAGCTGTAACAATGCACATATGGATGGAGCTCCCTTACTGCTATAAATCCAGCTCACCCAACCTTATGCAGGGTCGGGCAATATATTTTGAATTGCTGCTCACCGTGAGAACTGACGGTGCTGCACTTGGGGGAGCGGAGGAGTGTCTTACCTAGAAAAGTGGAAGGCATGTGGGGACCCACTGAACATGGGAACAGCAGAAAGGCATCATGGCACACTCACAAAACCAGCATGTAAAACAACATGTCTCACCACTAAGGACAATGACAGAGGTTTGGATACACGTCTTCAGCCGAGGATGTGTAAGCCGCACTGCCGCGCCAAGGCACCTCTTATAGTGCGGTCCTAACTCTAAACTAAGAGGGTCTCCATCTTGGAGCACATGGGGGCAGAAGATATCAAATTGGGTGCAGGTTTGTCAGGAGGACGCCCAACCTCCTTAAAGGTACAGAAACACACAAGGGATCCCGCACATCCTAATGGCAGCTGAGAAACCCCATGCGTCGCTGCACCAAATCGGTCAAGCAAAACAAACAACAAACGCACTCAACAATTTGTTACCAGTTATACAGTAAGGTGCACACGAAATGGGCTTTGAACAGTAGAACAGCAGAAAGGCATCATGGCACACTCACAAAACCGTGCGCACACCGGCCCGTTCGGCATTTGTCTCCCGAGCACCATTCAAACCAGCCGAAAATCGTACGATTCTCGGCTGGTTTTCTAACATGCTCCTTAGACAAAAGACGTGCGACCGTACAGTAGAAACGGTCGCACATCTTAGTTCACACTGTTCGATTCTCGTACGATCGCGGTATTTCCCGCGATTCTCGTACGAGAATCGAGCAGTGTATGGGCACCTTAAGGTTCCTAGTGCATACACATACAGAGCCAATTAACCTTCCAGCATGCCTTTGTGATGTGGAAGGAAAATGGAGTGCTCGGAGGAAACCCATGCAAACACAGGGAGAACATGTAAACTTGCAGATAGTGTCCTGACCAGGATTTGAAACAGGGACCCCCAGTGCTGCAAGGTAGAAATGCTAACCACTTAGCTAGTGTGCAAAATTAAAGCACGCTCTGCACAGGTATGAATACAGCTCAGTGTACAGTCTAAGGCCCCATTCACAAGGGGGCTTATGTTGCGCTCTGGGATTCCTGTGGCAGGATGGCCCAGTGTGACAGTAGCCGCATCTGTCAGCAGAAGTCCGGATATAATTGTACATGGTATGACTACATCAGTTCAGGATAGAATGAAACTACATTACTAAAACTCACTAACTGCTAAAAACAATGGTCACAAGTACTCTGTACTCATACTTCTAGACCAGATGTTGGGAACTCCGGCCCTCCAGCTGTTGTGGAACTACCACTCCCATGAGGCATTACAGCCATGAATCCCAGAGGCAGCGGCATGTTGGGATTTGTAGTTAAAAAACAGCAGGAGGACTCTTCATTGAGATCAATAACACAATTATCAGTCCCTCCGTACATGCTAGGGTGGCTAAGTGTAATCCTGGACTCTGACCTCTCCTTCAGGACTTGCATCCAATCACTAACCAAATCTTGCCGTCGTAATCTCTGTAACATTTCCAAAATTAGTTCCTCTTCAACAAATGGCACCACAAAGCTACGTACTCAGTCTCTTGTCATCTCTCGCCTTGACTATTGCAACTCACTTCTCATTGGCCTTCCTCTACACAGACTATCTTCCCTTCAGTCCACCATGAATGCTGCTACCAGACTCATCGTCCTCACCAACCGCTCATTGGCCGCCATCCCTCTCTGCTGATCCCTCCACTGGCTTCCAATAGCACAATGTATAAAATTCAAAATACTAACAACTAGGGATGCACGGATACCGATACTAGTATCGGTATCTGTGCCAATGACGAGTATTTGGGCGAGTACTCGTACTTGCCCAAATGCTCCGATGCCTAGCCCGATACTCCCGGTTTCAGGAAGCCGTGCACCACATCATTGCATGCTGCCCGGCTTCCTGATTGGCCGGGAAGCCGGCTCCATGCACTCTCGTTGTGACGAGGAAGCGTGGGAATGTAGGCGGTACCCTTCAAATTAACATACTTTAAAATTTACAATATAAATAAAAAAATAATGCTCAAACACCCAATGGATTAAAACTGGCCGCAGCCACTTTATTGGTCACCATATTAATTTATTATATTTAAAATAATTTCAACTTCATTAAACTCAAACTGATAACTGTAATTACTCACACTTAAAACCAACCATAAAATTGCCCAGCCACTAGGACTCGAGCAATATTATAAATAAACATCACCAATAAGTCCCCTCAAAGAGTGACAAACCACATAAAGAAGCACGCGACAAATATAGCTTAAGGCTTGGTGGGCGGGAGCTCGCTGTGAAAGAGTTCAGCCGAGTGCCAGCTCTCCCTCAGGCATTCCTTTATATAGGCTCCTGGGAACGGTCCAGAACCTTCCAGAAGGACACGAGCCAGGAGTTTTCCCGCCGAAACCTGTCAGGTAAATCTCTTAAAGGAACAGTACCTAAAATTAAAGAAAGAAAAAACAGGGAGAAAAACTGGAAAAAAACACAGGGAATGCCACAATCCCATGTTAGTGGGCCCAAATAAATTGTTCCCACTTTTCCATGGAGGCGGCTTCCCGGCCAATCAGGAAGCCAGGCAGCGTGTAATGACACGCTGCCCGGCTTCCTGACTGGTCGGAAGCTGGCCAATCAGGAAGCCCTGGCGCTGTGTAATGACGCGGCGCCCAGCTTTCTGATTGGTCGGGAAGCCAGCTTCATGCTCCCTCGTCACCTGTTGATGAGGGGACATGAAGCCAGCTTCCCCGCCAATCAGGAAGCCGGGCACCGCATCATTACACAGCGCCAGTTTCCTGATTGACCAGAAAGCCGGCTAATCAGAAAGCCAGTTGGTGAGTCATTACACGCTGCTTGGCTTCCTGAATGGGGCTTCCGGTACTCGGTATCGGCGAATACGAAAAAAATATATATATCGGTACTCGAAATACCGGTATCGGTGCATCCCTACTAACAACATACAAAGCCATCCACAACTACAAATGACTACATCACCAACCTCATCTCAAGTTATCACCCAAACCGTCCTCTCAGCTCCTCCCAAGACCCCCTGCTCTCTAGCTCCTTCATCACCCCCTCCCGTGCTCGCCTCCAGGACTTCTCCAGATCCTCTGGAACTCCCTACCACAACCTATCTGGCTATCTCCCACTCTGAATACCTTTAGGCGATCCCTGAAAGCTCACCTCTTCAACCTATTCAACATCCTCTAAAAAATTGTACATCTACTCCTTCAATCAGCTCATCCCTCAAGTCTGTACACTACGCTGAACACGCACATACAAACACGCAAAAACGATGCCGCCTAGGTGTGAACCCAGTCTTACATGCGGCCACTGTCACCATGTCATTTACTTCAATGGGTACAGCGACCACATCTGAACTGGGACACCTGGGTTTCCTGGCGCAGGAATCCATATGTTCTTGCCGCAGGTATCCCAGAATGCCCCGTGTGAATGTAACATAAGGCCCGGTGCAGACCTGAGTGATCCGGGACCACGTCCCGGGATCGCGCGGTCCTGCACAATTGCAGACAGTGATTGTCCGTGTGGCAACCGCAGAAAAAAGGTACATGTACCTTTTTTGTGATACACGATACACGGCTGTTTAGCTGCGATCGTGTTCGGATGCACGGGGTGCCATTAGAAAATAAGGGCACCCACAGCGCGATCGTTGGTGATGGGCGACTCCGTGACCGTGTGGCAATCTGCGCGGTATCGTGCACGATTGCAGCGCCTTCTTAGATCGTCCAGGTGTGCACCGGCCCTCAAGAGGATTGCAAACAGAAAGGTAAGTTTGTTTTATTGCAAAGGAGATTTGGCATGTTACTTCTATAATAAAGAGCTTTGCATGCTCACAATCGTTTAATGTTTCACGTTAGTTCTGCTTTATTGCAGACGTTTGCCATAACTATTGTGTGTTTATACCCGGGAGATGTGTTCTCTTGCTCATGAAAGTAGGAGTTGCTGATGTATGTATTGCTGAGTGTCCTGGGCCTGGCCTTGCAGCAATAGAGGGTGTAACCTGGGTGTGACGGACGGCCCTATCTGCCATTTCTGCCTGAGCACAAGAAGCTGCCTCTTGTAGAAAGGAAGGTGCCTCACCCCACACACAGACAGCTGCACTACAGCCTGTGTTCTCTCCATATCACCACCAGCTTGTCTCTGCTAAGGTAAGCGCGGCGACTAAATATAGAACTTTCTGTCTTGTCTGTTCTCTGGACGGTGCAGCTCCCCCCCCCTTCTCTTTTTAATGCACCCCCTGTTTCTGGGAGCCAAAACACACCCTACAGCCTGAGGTCTCTTCAGCTTTCACTCCCCAGCCATCTTTTAGTACTGAGCACTTTCTCTGGTCAGGAAATGGCTTTTTCTACAATGTTTCAACTGCTTGTGGTGTGTTGCTATTTTGCTCCAAGTTATACATTGAGGCCTAATGGTGTCTGAAAGCCTGCAGTAAAAACTGTTAGGGGGGAATTTTATCACAGCTGGAGCAGATGCCCATGGCAACCAATCAGCTTCTTTCTTCAGTTTGCTCAGTTAAGCTTTGAAAATGAAAGAGAGAAGCTGATTGGTTGCCGTGGGCAACTGCTCCAGAGTCTCTGTGTTGCCTCAAGCCAAACCAGGCCTTGCGCTGAAATACTTTTTATGCTTTTATTGTTTTTTTCTCATTGCATGAAGATTCAACACTGCTCTGGAAGGTGACAATTGTGATCGGTTGTTTCGAGGTAATGCAGACTGTCTGAGACAATTTCTAGCAGAGGCACCGTGATGATTAAAGCACAAGGGCCCGTTCACAACACAGCGATGTATTAATCGTGTGATACCTTGTGTTCAGCGCATGCAGTCATGCAACAGGGAAAATGTATCCAAACTAGAGCAGACAGATCCTGGAGCAGTTGCCCATGGCAACCAATCATCGTCACTTTTCAGTTTACTCAGTTAAGCTTTGAAAATGAAAGGGAGAAGCTGACTGGTTACCATGGGCAACTGCTCCAGATTCTGTCTGCACTACTTTTATCAATTCCCCTACTTGTACTGCAGGGGTGGGCAACCCCGGGCCTCCAGCTGTGCTTTAACTACAAATCCCAACATGCATCTGCCTTTGGGAGTCATGCCTGTAACGGTCAGTCTTGCAATGTGTCATGGGACTTGTAGTTCCACAACAGCTGGAGGGCCGAAGTTGCCTGCCTCTGCGCTACTGTGTGCTAGGTGCGTTGTGTTGCCATTCATTTCAATGGTAGCCCAATTCACCCCTGGCTGTCATGTACTGCACTACAGCGCAACACTGTGCGTTGTGGTGAAAAAAAAGTAAATGCACTACTTTATCACTGCAATACTGGTACCATGTGTTGCATTATGATGCAGCTCCCCTGTGGCCAAGAGGTGTATTGGGGTGCCATTGAAATGAATGGCAATGCACGTAGAGTATGGTAATGCATGTTCGGCGCATTGTGTGATATTGTGTATTAAATGCAAAGCATCATGCAATTCTTTTGTGAACAGGCCCCTTAGAGTAATTCCAAAGCTGGTCATACATTTTGTAGTAGGGATGCACCGATACCGGTATTTCGGTATCTACTACAAGTACTGTTTTTTTTTTTTTGATACTCGCCGATACCGAGTACCTGAAGTCCCATTCAGGAAACCAGGCGGCGTGTAAAGACTCGTCACCTAGCTTCCCGATTTTAGCAGGGAAGCCATCCCCATGCTTCTCGTCAGGAAGTCGGGCGCCGTGTAATTGGGTGACGAGGGAGCATGAAGCCGGCTTCCCGGCCAATCAGAAAGCCAGGCAGCGAGTGATTACATGGCGCCCGGCTTCCTGATTGGCCAGCTTGCCGGGCAGCGAGTCATTAAACGCTGCCCAGCTTCCTGATTGGCTCGGAAGCCAGCTCCATGCTCCCTCGCCACAAGTGGCGAAGGAGCATGGAGCCAGCTTCCCGGCCAATCAGGAAGCTGGGCAGCGTGTAATGACGCGCTGCCTGGCTTCCTGATACGGGAAGTATCGGGCTAGGCATCGGGAGCATTTGGGCTAGGAGTACTCGCCCAAATACTCAGCATCGGCACTGATACTAGTATCGGTGCATCCCTAAATTTGTATTCTTACTCCTCCCCCCTTCACATTCATTTTTTATTTTTGCCTGACGGCTATTGTATTTCTACAGCCGGCTCCCACAACTGTCAGAAAATCGGTCTGGTTGGGCAGAGTCATCAGTAGGCTGACAATTTTCCTCCCGCCTCCATCAGCAAAAGTCGATTAGCATAAAAGTCCCTTTTTTTTTTCCACGCACTTTTTAAAAATAATTTGAGGTTTCTCTTGTGCTGTACGGCACTGCCATCACTTTTGTGTCTAGATACAGAGGTCTGTTTGATTTGGCTGGTTTACTACGTATGAAAGTCAAACTCTTACCCAATTGCCTTTTACACTTCTCTACTGAAACGGTTTTGAGAACTGTTCATGCTTTTCTGTTTGAGTGTGTTGTGCATTGTTAGGCGTCAACCTGCGTTGTGTTGAGGCATGCACAAAAATAGGTAACAAAGTGCTTATGTTCGTCGTGTCAAAAAGTACCGGGCGGGAAAGTAATGTTGCTAGGAAATAATTCTCCATTATAGGCTATACTACACTGGTCTTCAGTCATTCAGAACTTTTTTTTCTATGGAGCCCGACGGAGAAGGTCGCGCTACCGTCGCTGGATCGTCGCTGGAACGTCGCCCCGAAAGTCGCGCTATCCCGGCCATGCGGATCCGCTGCAAAAGGTATGTCGCTACGTGTGAATGGGGTCTTAAGATCACTCAACCAAATAAATAACTAGTGCTTGGCTAGAAAAGCCCAAGCACACCAATCATAATAAAGTAACTCATTTTTAAAATGTCCCCCTCAATGAGGTGACGAATCATATAAATAAATGCAGCGACAGCGAAGCAAGGGTGGGATGGGGGGGGAAGCTCATCTGGAAGACAGCTGACAAAGGTGATGCCCTGAAAAAAAAAGTTTTCCCGCCTGAAACGGTAATGCCTGGATACTGTGTTAACCAATCACCGGTCAGGAAGAAGCAGGAAAACCAAATAAGATGGGAGGAAAAAGAACTACAAGTCACTGCAGATCCATGAGTGTCTGAGGCAGTACAGAGACTTCCTGATTTTACGCAGCTGTCTCTTCGCCTTTTCAGTGCCTGAGGAGGGGGGTGCACGCTACCGGTGGGGAGTCTGGGGGGACAGGGCCTCTGCATCATCTCCCTGCCAACTGGCCAGAGCATTCAGCTCCTGGCAACCAGTGATGCCACTGGTTGCTAGGAGGTGGGCAGTATGCCGACCAGAGCCTCCCCCGGTTGCTAAGAGCTGGGTGGGGAGATGTGTACGGCCCCGCTTACACATCTCACCGCCAGGAGGTGCGTTGGGGTGCCATTTAAATGAATGCGCCTAGTGCACGGTACTGCACGCCAGGTGCACTGTGTGATAGTGCGTACTAACAGCAGGGTACCATGCATTTTATTGCAATGCTATGGTGTAAAAAGGGGCAACCTCAGCACTACAATTCTTGTGGAACTACAAATCCCATGAAGCATTGCAAGACTGCCAGCCACAGGCATGGCTCCCAGAGGCATGATGGGATTTTTAGTTTCATCACAGCTGGAGTGCCAAGGTTGTCTATCCCATGGCGTAAACTTTTTAGCAGTACAGTGGTTTGGTGATTAGCACTTCTGCCTTGCAGCACTGGGAGTCCCCGGGTTCAAATCCTGGTTAGGACACCATATGCAAGGAGTTTGCATGTTCTCCCTGTGCTTGCGTGGGATTCCTCCGAGTTCTCCGGTTTCCTCCCACACTCCAAAGACACGCCGGAAGGTTAATTAGCTCCTGTCTAAATCAGCCTTGTGTGCATGTGAGATAGGGACCTTAGATTGTAAGCTCCTTGAGGGCAGGGACTAATGCGAATGTGTAGTATGTAAAGGGCTGTGTAAATTGCCGGCCTGGTTCACACCTAGTCGGATTCAGTCGTGCAATAAACACGACTGGAGCTATTTTCAGTGGATGCCGTATGGTTTTGGTCCCATAGACACTCCCATGCATTGTTTTTAAAAGCAAAATCACGCTAAACATTTTAGACTGGAATGTTATGATACGATTTGACTTTTGAGTTGCATTATTATTAAAACAACTAACTTTACTTTGAAAAATATGTCCGGCATTGTAAAAAAATGTTAAAAACAAAAACAGGAAACCAAGTCATTGGAGGGCAGGGTGTTGAAAGTAGATCCGAGTCTATAAGGGCCTGTTCTTAATCTCTATAGATATATATTTTTAAACTGGAACGCATCAAAAACGCATAGCACCGCGTCTGCAGATCCGGACCTGATCAGGACCTGAAACTCACCTGAAATTTACACTTGAGCGCCAGCGTCTTTGTTGGTTTTCAATGCGTCTTGTTTTCACACGTGTTTGTTGACACGTTTAGGGCCGCAAGTCCCCATTCAAAACTGTGCGATTTTGAAGTGCTTTGGCATGTCACATGACAAAAAGAACCCCAATGTTTTCTATTGGGCCCGCTGATACCTAGGTGTTGTGCTGCAGTGCAGTGAAAAAAGGTGCGGGTTCTTCTTTTGGTGCATTTTTAGTTCTATAGACTTCAATGGAAGCGCTTGGAAAAAAAAACGCATTGCACAAGGCAAACCCCTACCGCCTAGTAAACTGCACCTTGGTCAAAACAAAATATGCAAAACACATGAACAACACACAACAAAAATAAAATGGTAAAAACAGCAGAAGCACAAGCGTAAATGGAGATGAAACTCTTTGGTCATTTGAAGGCCTCATTCACACCAGGTGTACACATACGGGCGTGTACGCCACACGGAAGTGGTCCGATCCCAGGAGGGACAGATGCTGCGTGTGATTGCACGCAGCAGCCTGTTCTTCTCTATAGGAGGAGGCGGCTGTACGCTATCACACGTACACCCGATCTGCACATCCATGCGAGTGTCCAAATTTGGACTCAGACAGGATGCGTCCGTCTGCGTCCAAGTGAGGACACCCGTACCCGCACAGATGACAGCGTACAGCCGCGTCTTCCCATAGGAAAGAACAGGCTGCTGCAAGCAATCGCACGCAGTACCTGTCCCTCCCGGGATCGGCCCGTCTACAGGCGTGCACGCCACACGGATGTGTACGCCCTGTGTGA